ATTTAGTGTAATATTTTCCTGTTCTTCCTTCCTATTGTCTGGAATTTTATTAAATTAAATGCCTCGTACCTCATTTTTTTGGCCTTCTTTAGGCTCTTGGATATTCTTTCATTTCTCTTGATGAATGCTTAGTTTCTCCTTGAAAAACTTACATATGGTCAGTTATCCTTGAATTTTTCCTGCAATAGTTTTCGCATTTTGAATGTTACTTTACTGGCTACATAAAATGGGGTAGGAGTATAGAATAGCAAGGGAAAGAGGGCAGCACTTATTTTTCGGTAAGGTATCTAAAGCACCTTAAAGTGTTGGCAGCTTTTTTTTAAAAAAAAATTGTATCGTCAATCAAGGTAATAATTTGCCACCTCCATCACCCTTTTATAGACTGTGTCACTTTATGTTGTCCAATTGTCCTCTTTATTTGCTAATTGTATGTCATGTCATATTGTCATTTAGCTAATGGCATTAACAACAAAAATTACATAAAATTGAATGATAATTCAGAATTTAATAGCACAATCAAATTTTTTTTTTCAAAGTTTATAGATTTGGACACAGACTCAACCATCGAAGTCTAGGGAATAGACTTGCAATTTAACCTAAAGGTATCATTTATCTCTTTTATCTAGAGGCATAGAATAAAGCATAAATGTCCAAATATGACCTTGAGACCAAGTTTTCATGTTTTATGCATGGTGAGCTGAGGATGATCAAAATCATTTGTTATTTCAGTGCTCTTTTACAGTAGGCATTTTTGGTATTCATTATTTGAGCACCCTAGTTTTTCATGGGCTATGGATAGATCAGCAAAAGGGAATCTATCGGTAATTGAAAAATTCTAAGATGATTTTTTACTACTATGGCAATCCTATGGGGATTATGGTTTGAGAGAAATAAAACGGTATGCAATGAGAAGCATGCAGTGTGGAAAGAGGTGTTTGATATGGCTAAACATTGTTCTTCTTGGTGTTCTTTATCTAAGTCCTTTCATTATTATACTCTAGTTGGTTCAGATTGGTATGATATTCTCTAAGCTCTTAGTAGAGTTTTTTTTTTACTGTATATATTTTTTGCATCAATCCAAATGTTGCTCGTCTCAAAACAATCTATTGGCTGTGAATGGAAATTTTATACATCAAACCTCTTCTAATGCTGTGAATGGCAGTCTGTAAACTCCTAGTTGGAGTTTTATTTTTTATTGTATATATTCGCTACATCAAACCTTTTCTCGAACTGGTTTTCTTGTGAATATTTTCTTACAGGGAAAGCGAAGGTTCATTTCAATATGGTTATTATCATGGAGAGGCTGATGACTTGCATGCAATAATCCAATATTGGCGTGCAGCAGGCCGTGTCATAAGTGGGATTCTTGGGCATAGTAAAGGTTGCCAATTCCTTCTCTGTGCTCAACACCAAATAAGTTGTAGATAATATCTGAGGCCAAAATTATATTTAAAGTTGAAAGGGATCCATCTCAACTTCCAAGCTAGATTATGATTTAGTAATTACTTTTCTTATCTCATAAGCTAGGAATTGAATGATAGGTTCATATTGCATTGTGCATCTATATGGTAGAACGTGTTTTTATAATAATTTGAATCCAGACCCTTGGGAAATAATAGAGGAAAAGGCTATGAAGTCATTGCCAGAGTACTGGGACTAAGTTTTATTTGCCTTTTAAATTCCCATTCCTTTAGGGGAATACTCGTGTTGCAAACAGAGAAGCCAGTCCGTGGATTAGTATTGTTTGACAATGTCAAGGGCATTAGGAGACGCCTTGCTATATTTCTCATGCTCTATAATATTGCATTACTTATTTATTTTGACATTGATGCAGTTTCAACTTTCAAGCGTTGTAAAGTTTACATTGTTAGGAGCATTTAAGGATTCTTGATTTAGTATAGAAGCTCACAAATCTCTCGGGCAATTACGCTGTTTTCTGCAACTTTTTATTTTTCCATGATGCTTGGCTATTGAACACAAATGCTTGGAAGTTTTCAAAATACTCAAGAAAGCAATTTAAAATGCTTAAGGGTTATCATTTGGCATTTTTATTATTATTATATATTTTCTAAAGGTGCTATATGACTATATGACCTTCACTGGATATCATGAACTTCACCAAAATAGTCTTGATATTTAAAGGAAGTTGCAGTGTTTTAAGCATGAAGTGAAATTTGTAGTTGAATGTCTGTTTTGTTCAAGTATGTTTAACAGAGTATGGAATACCCGATCAACCAACACAATATTTCGGCTACTAAATTATCAGTTCTTGCAATTTCTTTCAATAAGTGGTTTAATTATGAAAAATTAAATGCAGGGGGTGACGTGGTGCTTCTATATGCTTCCAAGTATCAAGATATCAATTTTGTTATCAATGTTTCTGGACGTTATGATCTGAAAAAAGGTATAAAAGAACGCTTGGGGGATGAATTTATGGAAAGAATTGAGAAGGAAGGATATATTGATGTCAAGAATAAGAAAGGTATCTATATTGCAATTATCTTTAAATTTTCTGGGTTGAGTTATTCTCCAGTCATATTTTCTGCAGTAAAACTTATGTCTCAAAAACTTCAATTGGGGCATTTCCATACATATGAAACAGTCTCATTGCATGTTTAAATCTCTATTTGGTTAACATCGTTTCTTTTTCCAGGAAAAGTAGACTATCAAGTGACGTGGGAGAGCTTGAAGGATCGCCTAAACACTGATATGCATGAAGCTTGTCTTCTAATCGACAAAGAATGCAGGTAAGGGCGAGTCGATCAATTCTCTTTACGCTTCCTTTCCTCATATTTGCTTTACTGCTTAATCATTTAGCCGTTCACTTTGAAAAGTTTTTTTGAGATATTTGCTTTGGACGTTTCTATTACTGTGTCATTGATTTAACTCTCTGGATGGCTCAAATTATGGAGATTGGGTTTCTGTGTAAAGTTAGCACAACTGTTTCTTGATAAATGTATTTTGAGCCTTGAGGTACCACGTTGAGGATGTTGGGAGAGAGTCCCACGTTGACTAATTTAGGGAATGATCATGGGTTTATAAGTAAGGAATACATCTCCATTGGTATGAGGTCTTTTGGGGAAGTCCAAAACAAAGTAATGAGAATTTATGTTCAAAGTGGACAATATCATACTATTATAGAGAGTCGTGATTCCTAACACACTAGTCATTTGCTAATGAGCTCGTTGGCTCACTGGCCTAAATATAATTGTCAAGAATTTTTTTTTTTTATTTTGCTAGATAAATGCTCAATCTTCCTCTGTTCTATAAGATCGATTAAATAATAGGAAAAGTTCGAAAATGTAATTTATAAGAATCTCTCTTAAAAAATAAGTCTAGAAAGTATGAATATGTTGTTGAGATGAGGCAAATTTTCTTCCCAACTGTCTGGTTTATGAGAAAATTCTTATTGGATCAGGCTACATATCTTTGTATAAACTATATTTCCCATATTTGGTGAGAACCCAGAAACCTTTAACTGATTAATGATGATATTTGATAGGGTGTTCACAGTCCATGGATCTGCTGATGAAGTAATCCCTGTTGAAGATGCATTTGAGTTCGATAAAATCATACCGAACCATAAGTTACATGTCGTAGAAGGTGCCAATCATTGCTACACCTCACATCAAACAGAATTAGCCTCAATTGTCTTGAATCTCATTAAAACAAGCCTGCCGCATTCCAAGGATGGTGCTTGAGCAAGTTCTTCCAGCCTGCATACAGGTTCCTGCTGGATCTTTTATTAGTTGCGCCCATGAATAATTACGTTTATGTTTTGCTGATTAAGTTCAACTGATTTCTAATTCTGTGGTTCGATCGACCAAAGCTAATCTCCTTCCATTCGTTCCTCAATAATACAATGGATTTGTTCAATCAATCAAATCTGGACTGAGATTCAAACCTCTAAACTTCTAATCAAAAGATCTTTACGTCTTTCGCTATGTACTGATTCTAGAGTTGATCATTCGGATCTTTCAATTTATAGACGTGGAATCTCGGACATGAAAACATTGCATTTTAGGTAAAGTTTCAAAAAGGGCCCTCCATGGAATCACTCTTAGAAAGTTGGTTCTAGTGTTTTGTTATTAAATTATATTTGATATTCCTTCTACTTTTGATTGCAACTTCTGTGTATCTGAATTTCACATTGAGAATAAAAGGTTCTTCGAGTTAAAGTGAAATTCTTCATCTTTGTTTGATAAAATAATCATTTCTAATAATGAAATGGTTTGTTCCTGCAATAAGATACTGAAAAATAATTAGATATTAATTTGTGTATTGACATTAAATCATCTTAAGATTTTCGAACTCAGTTGAGCATTTTTTCGAACATTAAAATCATAAAAAATATACAACATGATCTTCTAAGAAGATAAACATAAAAATTTAAATTTAATGATTAATTTGAACGAGATCATAACTGCTTTAGAGTAAAGGTGAACGAGAGAATTGGAACAGGAGTAAGTAGCTCGGTGAACGAGAGAATTGGAACAGGAGTAAGTAGCTCGATGAACGAGAGAATAGGAACAGGAGTAAGTAGCTCGACTGTAAAGCTGCTCATTGATTCTTTCACGGTAAAGTCTCATTCATTTTTAGTCTTGACTCTCCCTTTTAGTTACTTTCGTCTTTCAAAGCTGCTACTGCTACTGCCAATTCATTTAATATCCCTTCTTTCACTGTATAGGTTCAATCGAGTAAGATACATGGTTTATCGACTAGAAATGACTAGTCTATATTTTTAAATAAAAATATATTTATTTTTCAAAATGTATTAACTTTAAGATAAAAATAAAGTTTTTTATTAGGTTTTAGGAAATCGAAAAATAGATTAGAAAAAGTAATTTAAAGTTATGTAATTCTTTTTTATAAAAAATTACTCACACAATAAATATTTCATTAGAAAATAATTATTGTTTTAAAGTGACAATAATTAACATATATATATATATAAACAGTAAATAAGCATGTTTTATTCATGTCCATCAAATCCAACCAACCCAAATTATTTTCCAGACAAATTTAAATAAAGGCACGTAAGAAAAGTACTCTATAACTACAAAATTTCTCATCCTCAATCATAAAAACCTCCCCCAATCTCCACCATAAACCCTCCATCGCCGCCGCCGTTACCGCCGCAATTCCGACATGTGGACTTCTTTAGCCACTTGGGTCACCCCCACTTCCCTCTTCATCCTCATCAACGTCGTCATCGCCACCATCGTCATCACTTCCCGCCGCCATCTCCACGACGGCCCCGCCCTCCTACGCCACCCTTCTTTCCTAGACAGAGTCAAATCCTTCAACCTCTACCCCTACCACTCCGACCACCACCCTAATCCAGACCCTCCAACCCGACTCGACCGAGCTCCATCGGTGTTGGATCGCCTCAAATCCATCACCCTCTACAGATCCGATTCAAACCACGAACTGGAAACGCCACAGCCGGTAGCAGAACAGAGCCCGGAAAAGACCCACCACGACCATTCCGTCAGCCGGAGCAAATCCAACACCGAACCCCACGCTCCGACGACGAGCTTCCGGGCGAAATTGCAGAAATCGCTGAGCGAGAAGCTGTCATGGACGTCGTTCACTAGGGCGGATACAGCGGCGCAGGAAGAAACAGAGGAATCAGTAAGCGAAATTGAACGGCGTCGTCCGGCGACAACGATGGCGGAGATTGGAGAACCAAAAACGCCGGAAGCTGCCGACGAGGAGGAGGAGGTGGATGTGAGAGCTGACGATTTCATCAACAAATTCAAGCAGCAGCTGAAATTGCAGAGGCTGGAATCTCTGTTGCGTTACAGAGACATGATTAAAGGCAAAAAACATTAAGCCCCCTCTTTATCTTCTTTCACATCTGATCGAATTTTTCATTTCAGTTCTTGATTTAAAAAAAAAAAAAAAAAAAAAAAAATCCCCCTTCTCTGTTTTTTTTTTCTTGTACAAACTCTGTTTTGTGAGGTTTGTTGGTCTGATTTCGTAGGTTTTTCTGTCTGAATGGAACACAGCCGCCATTAATGTGGAACATAGCCACCATTAATGGCGGAAAGAAATCGGGTGTCGAATGAATTATCAGCTGTCGTTGTCGACGAAAAATTAGCCAAATTTTGGTCCTTCCGGCAGTGGGTTGCATTTATAAAAATTAAATTTGATCAATTTGCATTTTACTATTATAACCTTTTTCAAATTCACTAAATTTAATAAAATGGATTAGTTTTAATGTCATTTTCTAAATCTTTTAAAATTTCATAAAATGTAATTAATAATATTTATTTAAAAAATATATTTTAAAGTGAAATTAATTATAGGCTAGGGGTTTATTATTGCAATTTTTTTAAAAAAAATTAGGCTGTTTGTTGATAAATAAATAAATAAATATAATTGTTGGAAAAATTATTAATTATTGGATATTTCTCAATTTATTTACAATTGGTCGGTCCAATTACTATGGCGAATATTATTTTTTTATTTAATATCTTTTAAAGACTATATTGTCACCAGATATTTATTATATATTGTGACGTTGACCTTTGTTTTTATATATATGTACTTATTTTGTACGCTCATATTCCAATTCTATGTTACAATATTCTTTCTATATGTTACTTGAAATTACTATTTACTTCTAAATTACTAATTCCCATCTATTTTTATTAATCGTTCTATTAAAAAAATCTCTTAAACAGTGAAAATTATCCCCACAAATCGACACGAATCGGCTTTATCTTGACTCACATGCATTATAGAAAGAATAAAGTACTCTATAAGCCTCCCCGGGAGGCTTATGTAGCTCTCAAACAACCTCCCCTTAATCGAGGCTTGACTACCATTTGTTCGACACTTTAGTCACTTTTTGAAGTTTAGGGCTGTTAGAAATTACGACTCTCCACAATGGTATGATGTTGACCACTTTGAGCATAAGTTCTCATGGCTTTGTTTTTGGCTCCTCAAAAGGCCTCATGCTAATAGACATGTATTTTTTTACTTATAAAAATTAAAATGGGATAATTAGAAATCATGGTAGCTACTCCTCGAGCCAAATTTATGTTGTTTTTGGTTCTCTGTGCATGATAAGTGTCACAATCACACTCTTGTGGCAGCGGAATAACGATTTTGTGGCACTTGTACTAACCCATCGAACAAGTCATCAATGTGAATTTCAGACTTTGCAGACAATATTGGCGTACGCTCGGGTCTAGAGTCACGTTTGAAAGAAAATATTAGAAAAAATAATGTTAAAAACTAAAAGCGAGTAGGCAACAACAACTTCGACGGCCAAATGATCGATATTTATGATTTTCTATTAAAAAAAAAAAAGACATGATTATTAGATAATGTATATACTTTAATGTAATTTAGAATATTTAGAATATTATATATTTAAGAAAATATTTTAGAAAATAACATTCCAACGCAACTCCTTCACTGTTCATTGCCTCTCGAATCTCATTCAGGCAACAAAGGGGAAGAGACCGAAAAACCCTGTCCGCACCGAAAGGGCGCTGAGAGGCTGTGCTTGAGGTGCTCCAATGGCGGATAAACCCCAACCGATACGCGTTTTGTACTGCCCAATCTGCAGTTTGCCGGCCGAGTATTGTGAATTCGGTCCCGATTTCGAAAAATGCAAGCCCTGGTTGATCCAGAATGCCCCCGATCTCTATCCCGATCTCCTTAAAGGTCATTCGTATTCCCAAACCCTAATAGCCTCTTATTTAGTTTCTCTCAATGTATTAATTGTTAGTTCAAATCCGAGTTTATTGACTAAATTTTCTTTCTTTCTCTACGTGTAGAGGCCAATGGGAAGGAAGTTGGTGAAGTTTCTAATCAACTGCAGTCCACCTGTATCTCATCTGCTGCTGGCGATGGAGCCGCTTCTTCAGGTTAGCTTGTCAAATATATTTATATATATATGTGTGTTTATGCGTGTTTGTATCTATATGTGTATAGTTTTTTTGTTTTGTTGTATTTACATGCTAGGTTCACTTGAATATGTTGGAAGCTACTGCCCTCAACGTTAATGTTTTCCTTTTTATTTTGACTTTGTCGTGAAATTCTTACCAGCCTAATTCTACTTAGTTGTTTGAGAAACCCATTTTTAACATTGCAATGTAGGGTAGGGGACCCTCGATTTACTCTCCAGTATTAGGTTTTAGGCGGGTTTTTTTTTTTTGATATCGATGAGTGTCCGGGCTTGTGCATGCCCCTAAACTAATCTCACGAAAAAGTGATTGATCCTACTGCATTTAGTTGACATGGAAACACATAGGATATGAATTCCTAAGAAGGTGACCACCATGGTTTTGGCTGTACTTAATAAGCACTTTTGAGACCCTAGAACATTGAATAATTTTTTCCATTATTTCGACCTTACTTGAACATGGTATGGTCTATAGTTTGTACAACTCTGTCCTTGAATTCTAAAAAATAAATAATCTTTTCCATTATTTGGTTATGTGAGGAAAGATATAATAATATGATTACCTGCCTAGAGTTAGTGTTCCCGATATTGGAATTTTGCGGATAGTTGACAATAGAACACTTAAGATCAGCAGGATTAATAAAGTAATCCCATTAAACATTTTTACCCTTTTGTCAGTTGGGTTGCGTTTGTATGGCTCTTCTCAATGTAGCTTTTGATTTGATTGTCTTGTGTCTGACATCTTCTGCTTGTAATGTATTTTAACCAACATTTTCTTTTCCATTATTGTTTAATAATAATTTTATATTTGTTTGGTCTGAATGTACGACTTATAGCTCTAGTTACTCTTTTCTCTTTTGGTGGAGAACTGCAGCACCTAAGAAAGAGGAAGTGAAACGTCTTCCTGGTGGCAAGATAAAGAAAAAAGTAAGTTTTAAAGTAAGTTCTGTTGTCACTCCACAACAGGACGTGATGAATCTCATTTGTTGGTTTTTTGCATGTAGGAGAAACAAGAAGTTGTAATTGAGAAGGTAACACGAAATAAGAGAAAGTGTATTACAACTGTTAAAGGGTTAGACCTTTTTGGTGAGCAATACTTTGGTTTCTTTCCCTATTTGCCATATCTTTATTGTTACAATAGTTTCCAATAACATTCTCTAACTGGATTTAGGAGTTAAACTTAGTGATGCTTCGAAGAAACTTGGGAAAAAGTTTGCTACGGGGGCCTCTGTGGTCAAGGTTATTAACTTCTGGTGCCATGATATAAGTATCTTTTTCTACTTTAGATGCCTCTTGATATCTTATCATCTGTTTAATGCTTGGTTTAGGGGCCAACTGAGAAAGATCAAATCGATGTTCAAGGGGACATATTCTATGACATTGTGGATTTCATTACTGAAACTTGGCCTGATGTAAGATTCTAATTCATCATTAATATTAGGGAGAAAAGCATATACGTGCCCCCCATTGCCTCTTAACTCATTCCAAAACCGTACTTGAATGTTGTTCTTTTACTCTTTACCTTAGGCTTTTGAACGTGGTTTGATTATTTCTGATATGAATTGCACATAAATTATAGTGGATTCTGGACAGTTTTAAAAAATGGTGACATTTTCAACTTCTAATGCTAAGAAGAAGGTTGGTATTTTTTTTGTTTTTTGTTGTTTTTTTTTTCCTTTCTGAAACTACTATATAAAAGGTCTATATTTAATTATATTTCTCGATTATATAGTGATTTAACACAAAGAGAAAAAAACAAACGAAAGAAACAACTTTATTGAAGATTTAGCTTTGTTGGTGCAACTGTATTTTGTATCCTGAGTTCTTAGCATTCACAGCCATTCGTTGATGTTAAACTATTGTTGCATGCACAAGAGACACCCAGTTAAGGACTTCAATGTTGAATTGGCTCTATGTATATTAATGTAGCTCTAATGTTTGTATATAATGGTATTAATAACAAATATAAAGTCATGTGTTCTCTTACAAAATCAAAGCCCTATCTTCCCACCAATTTGATTCCCTTAATTCCCATCTACTAGCCACTTGGGTACAACTGAATAGCTACCACATCATACCCCCCCCCCCCCCCCCCCCCCCCCCCCCCCCCCCCCCCCCCCCCCCCCCCCCCC